TATATATATATATAATTCCAATATCCAAACAATACTGGTTTTTTTATCTGGAGAACCATTACTAATGGACGAGCTTTGTTTTCTTTACTACCCAAGTATTTTTTTAACCAAATTATAAATTTTAGTTATTTCAAATGTCTTCCTACTTGTAAATAATTGAAGAACCCCTTTCCCCAAACCAATAGATCTATGATCAGCTTGGGTTTTTTTCTTATAAATGCAAAATGAAAGTAAATGTGTGTTCTCTCTTAATATCACTGTAATTTTCTCCTGCCAATACTCTGGGAATTCCTCAAACTAACCCTTGTATGTGTTCACAAACAAATGCTAACCATGAACTTCTATTCTTCTGGGAGTTTATTGCCTGTGAGACTACGTAAAATGGCCCTACAATTTCCACAACTGACAATGCTCCTCCTACATCATCATATCCAAAGCTAATTGTGGATACTTGAAGGCTTGGAGTAATGCCCACTTGTTTAAGATTGGATTTCTTCTGAAAATACTTACCCATCCTCTCCCAAGCCAGGGATGAAAGCCAGACTCTCCTGGAACAATTATGAGACTACGAGACTCTGGGCAGAAGTTGAGCTCCTTGCCTTTCCAGGTTTCACTGTGCCCAGCAAAGTTGTAAAAATCATAGGGTCCATTTTATCTGGAACTCAAGCTCAAGGTAAATGTTCTTCCTTATGATTGGATTATCTCGAGGATATGCCTCCCACCAAAGGTCCTTAACCAGGCAGCTCTGTACTAAGAGGACAGACTTCATCTATCTGCAGATGGCCTTCCTTATTGCATTAGGCAGTTTATTTTATGTGAAATCATTCTCTATATTTATGAAAGTAGAAATAGGACACTGAGCATAAGAAGGAGAAATAACTTCTTTTTTTATATAAAAAGTCCATATTTTAAAGATATCCATTTATAATTATTTTATTAAACAATCATCTTTTACATGTCATCAGACCTTACCCCTGAAGTGCAAAAAACAGTTTGAGGTATTAAAACTGAAGGAACATTTGCACATATTTTGTAAGGTGTCACACTATAATAACCAGAAAATTCAATATGACTAAATACTACACATAAATGCAGATTTCTAAGAAAAAAGCTATGTAAAACAAACCTGATTTCTTTCATTATAATTCTGATTTTCCCATTTATGGTGGAAAGGTGGCAAAAAAATAATATAAGACTTGCGTTACTTCCAAATGATATATGTCTATTATTCGGGTGTATAAAATAGAGTACAGAATTTAAAAGGTCAACAGCTAAAACAGTTGTCATCCCAAAAGCATAAAAATCAAACTGACAAACCAGACTCAATGATATAATGTCCTATTCACAGAACTTAATCCTCAGATCAATGGTAATTCACTTACAGAATCTGAAATAGATTGTCCAAAATATTTCAGTACTACCCATGCACAGAGAGGGTCATACTAGTTGCTTTGTCAGTTAATCATGTTATTGTGGATAGAGATCCTTTGGTCACCTCGAAGTTATTTAGAAGTAGCCCAGGGAAGAAGAGATTGGCTTTTTAATTGAATTCAACTTTTTAAATTGAAGAAATTATCCAGGGGCTTTCTAGATCCCATTTCACTTTGTGTCTACATCTTGAAATACAAAGTTGAGGCATTTATATAGCTAACTATTATAATATAGACACTTCCTCCTGAAATAGTCAGACAAAGGGAAGAAAAGGCATTTTTTTGAGTCTATGATTGATTTATTAACTCTAAGTGTAGGCACTTCCTTTGAAACAAATCTAAACTGCATAATGATTTGCACATAGTATAGTAAATTAACAAGTTACAAATTCTGAAGAGAAATTAGTTATTGCAATAATTTTGTCAAGCCAATGTGGTGCTTCTTGTAGCTGTACCTGCTAGGTTTTGATGTTTGTTATTGAATTGTCTTATTTGTTCAAATGTGTGAAGAGCTTGACCAAAGAGGTGGTTAGAAATTTGGGTACAACATGAACTGCTTAAAACTTAACTTTAAAAAAACTCTTTTGGAAAACCAATTAGGGGGAACCAGCAGTTAGCGTAATGGCTATGTCGCTGCACTCCCACGTAGTCAACCGCGGTTCGTGTCCCGGACCCGGTGGCTTAAAAACTCACGCCGGGCGCGTGTGCATGCGTGCCCAAGATCCCGGGAGGAGAATGGAGGAGAAGGGATTGCGGCGTGACCATCCCCCCTGGGGGGTGATTTCTCGCTTTCTGTCTCTATGTCTCTCTCTGTCTGTCTGGTGAGCGCACGCACCCTATAGTGAAAAAAAAAAAAAAACCCTCTCAAAAAAAAAAAAAGAAAACCAATTAGGGATCAAATGTTTCTAGAAGTTTCCTCTTAAAGGAAAATTATTTTGTTTCATAGCCATGATGACATTTACTAAAATACCTTCTATACACAAGGCTACTCCAGACAATTAGTTTTGCCTCAGATAAAAAATTTGGAAAGAAGTGAAGACACCAACAAAGTTCTACAAACTACACATCAGTTTCCTTTTTGTTATAGATAAAAGGAAGCTGGGTTGCTAAAAACTCTGACAGGAACATTACACCTATGTGGTAGTGGCAATGTCCTTTTTCCACAATTATGGGTTTTTTTCTGTTCCATGTAATGCTTCTTAAATTAAAAATAATATTTTGTGCAGTTGTCTCATTGCTGGAAACACAGCTGTGACAGCAGCTGAACTGTCTACCTGGAAGGAGAGTTAACATGTGTTGATGTTCTTACATGAACCCAAAGGAAAAAGCTGATCATGGCCATTGCTACTCAAGTGAATAATGACCTAGAGTCACTGGGCATCCTTTCAAAGTTAACAACTATTTTTTCTATTTGCTACACAAATGGAATCCAGAGTTAAATATATTTCCCAAGAGTTTCATTCAAAATGAATGTCATCAGATATGGAAATCCGTCAAAAACACAGGAGGTCATAGAATGAGTAATTAAATCTCAGGTGTCCAAATTGTCCTGTAAAATAAAACCATATCGCCCAAGATGGAATTAACTGGAATAAAACAAAGAGCAACTTTCCTTTTAGGACCATGTATGCAAATCTAATGCCACTGCATTAGACTTTCACGCTTAGTGGGAAAAAAATGCAACAAAGAAATTGTGCCAATCTTCTATCTCTATAACCAACAATTAAACAAAAATTGAAATAAAATGAGAAATAACTGATCCTGTAAGATCTCAGTCCTGAATATTTTTTACTAGTTGTCAGCATATGCATGGGTGTCATAAAAATAGGGCTAGCCACATACGTAAGTGACAATAGCAATATTATCAAACCTTTTTTCACTATCATCATGTCAATGAGCTATATTGTGAAATCTATCATACCTACAAATATCAAATTCTGTCTGGCATATTCAATTCAGTTGGAACATGGATTACAGTCACACACAGAATGGTCAGGGAGGCCTTCTCTGGAGAGCAGGAATCTGTGACAGTCAGTCAAAGACTGGATTTCTAATGCCATTCAACACCAAACTGGTGGGTCCTTTTCTGTGTAGAAGGGCCAGTGCACACAGGAGAAGGGAAAAGCTCATCACTCCTAGAATGACGATTCCTGATATCAGTGCGCTGGTGATGGGGTTCAGCTGGAAGGGAGGCACACTTGGAGAACCTGTAAGTGATGAGATACATGTGTATATAAGGGGCCTATATCATATTAATCTCACCTTAGCTCAGTTGGTAGCTATATATTATAGAATAACACCATCACCCTGTAATATGCTACAGTCTGACTGTATTCAACCCAACACTCAAAGAAATCTGTGGTTTAGAGGTCTGATGGCCCATGGGTGGTTGGAAACAAACAAAAACCCACAAAACTATGAAACTGTAAAACGCTATAACAATTGACCAATGGATCACATGAGTTCAAAACTCCTCAATAAATCATTATTTACAGCATAACTAAGTTGTAAAACTATAACTCATTAAATGTGGTTGATTACAGTTTTGTAACTAGTGACTAAACATTTAAAAAACACAGCTCTTTTATTTTCAATATATGTTAATTATCTTACCAAGTTGTGAGTTGTTGGTTGGAGTCTCATCTAAGGGAAGGTGGGACTTGAGGGAGAGCACA